TGTGAAATACATGACTCTGCATTTGTGTGAGGAGACCTGCAGAGATGCCAGAACATCATCTACACGCGGCCGACTGGAAGAAGTGCATGATGGGCTGCTGTAAAGACGCCACTGCAGGATATAGAATCCAGGCCAGCGCGTCACATGAGATCCCTGATGGGACAGATGTGGATCAAAGAAAGAGAATCAGAGCAGAAAGAAGTGTGTCCATCTTCTGATCAGTGTGTTTTGTAGTGAAATATGAGCCATGTTGATGTTCCTGACAGGTTTCATGAGACACACACACCTGTACGCTCTCTCCCTCTCTGCAGGTCAGGGCCGTCTCCACCATGCTGTAGTCTTGTCCGAGCATCCAGGATCTGTCGATGAGCTGGACGTTGTTTCCAGCAGGACAGGCGAGGTTGTGTGCGCTCAGAACGTCTCTTTTAACTGGCTGAGGAGCCCTTCTAGAGTGATAGATATTGAAGATCACGTCGCCTTTACACACATCAAAGTCCCACGTAATGACAGACGATACTTCTGTAATCTCTATCAGCACCTGGAAACGAATGAAGTGATTATTTCATAATTCATAACACACAGCGCTGAGCTCCATTCAGAATTTAATTTCAAACAGGATGCAAAGCTGTATTTCAAACTAGAAGTTACACGAGGAACTATAAGTAATAGGACTTGAAAATAAAATGCAGATAACTGCTATTTTAAGTACTTTAATTTTTTCACTATAGGCTACTATCACATTTGTACTCACAGCAGATGGAGTATTTCCAGAAACACTATATTAGTTATTTATCAAAGAAAGAAAAAAATAACAGCCATAATATTGACTATTGTAAATGCTGTGATACTGTGATGCTCAGAGACTGTTATTTCCTCCTCACATTGCTGATTTCACCATTAACTCTTCACCTGAACAGTTTATGTTGCTGTATATGGTCTCATTGTAATCCTTGACCATCAAAATATAGGGGTCGACATCACCTTTTCTCTGTTATCATGTTTGGTTCAGGAGATACGACACAAAATACATAATTTTGTTATGGCGGAAAGTAAAATGGTCGTCATGGCAACCACGAGGCCTTTTTGCGATGGCTCCATTTCTAACCTGTACAATTGTACCAAGTTTCGTGCTTTTATGAAAAAGTGAACATATCACCTCAAATTTTGCACATATCACCTGGACTAATATTATATTATTATTATTATTATTTGAAGTGCCACAGATACTTGTTTAAATGGCCATCATGCACTAAACGACTGAGCAGAACTAGACTAACAGTATTTGACTTTTACGCTGCATGTCTTCTTATAACCAACAGATGGCGCCAATCATCAACATACAGCGTGTGTAATGAACTTCGCACAGCTGAAGTAAACAGCAGCAGCTGTATATTGTTGAGTATCGTCTGTGGATGAGCTGTACCTCATGTGGAGCTCCCTTCAACACACTCGCGCTCTTGTAGATGGTTTCATTCCACAGTTTAACCTCCTCGCTTTCCAGCTCCTCAGCCGTACGGTACAGAGACTTGGGAACCAGACCCCCCTCAGGAACATCACACTGAGGTAAACAAGAGAAACACAGTTAGATTAGAGTGATATTAGATTGTTTTCATGCCTGTCTGAGTAAATCTACATCTACACGTGTCCTGTAAGTATTCTTTTAAAATATGTAATGTAGTACTCTTTTTAAAAGTATACAAAAGTGTTGTTTTTTCACAATTGTTTTACGGACTGAAAACAATTCTGTTTGTTCAATTCAATTCAAGTCTGTTTGACACAAACCACTCATAACGTGCACACATAAATTTTTTTTTAATATAATTATGCAAATCATTATTTGAGAATGACTTGCTGGTCTAAGAAAGGCACATGACATGTCCTATCACTTTTAAACAAATGACGCACAGATCTGCCTGACGTTCCAGCTTGGTGAACCCACTGGTATCTGAAAGTGCCTCAACCAATCCAAGAGTTTAAACATGTCAGATCTCACCAACAACAGACTCACCAGAGCGTCTCCTCCTAAGAAGTCAGGGATGAAGTCTCTGTTGATGTAGTCCACCAGACCTCCAGGCCCCTGGTAGTCATTCCCTGCATAGATGAGAAACTTCTTCCGCGTGTTTTCGTCAATGAATGGACTCACCTGATCGCAGAACAGGGTGCAACAGAAATCAGCGGGTCATTTTTCATTAGCACTGCTAACAAAGGCCCAAGCAAGCATGACATTTACAGAAGCCTGGCAATTAAGAAAGGCACCACGCTGACATGACATTTAACTCTGAAGGGTCAATGTGTATACAGAACAATTTACAACCATTAAATGAAGACTGAGTGTGTGCTTATCTCAGTCTTTCCCAATATCGTGAACTATTTGTTAACATTATTTGTATGTGCTAAGTGTGTCACAATTGTGAAATCTTATGTTTGTGTGTGTGTTTACCAAAGTCCAGAGCACAGGAAACACTCTGGGTGCTCTCAGTATGAGGAGACGGCCCAGTGTTTCAGGGTAGTTGGCTCCTACAAGCTCTATCATCCTCAGCAAGGCTTTGATTCCCGGTCTCCACAGATGCCTCATATTTAACCCCTCAAGATCCACCAGACATGTCCAACAACTACAGAACACAAACACAGAAGTAATTATTACTTATCAGGGTAGAGACATCACATAAAACACATAGTATGTGTGACCACCAAGAACTGATTCTTATTCACATCAGTTCCATTTAGAAGTTTGATATAAGTGGAGTTGGAATTGGAACCAAAGTCATACAATTCATTTTACTCCCATTCTGTACATACATGACTGGTTTGGACATGTCTTCTTAAGTACCTGATTGGTTTTCCAAATATTTTGGTGTTCTCTTCACAGTGTCTGAGACCTTCCTCATTGATGGACAGTACCTGAAGGTTGGACCAAAGGTGAAGGGGGTCAGTGAATATAATAATTTTATTGAATTTAGTTAACTGGCTCCATTGGTGTAGTCACCACCTTTATTTCTGTAGTGCTATATACAATAAAGATTGTTTTGAAGTAGCTTTACAGTGATAAACAAGAAAATAGCAATTCAATGACACAAACACAGATCAATTTGGTCAAACTTTATTTTAAGGTCCAATTCTCGCCATTAACAAACTATTAACTACAACTTTTGCCTCAATAAACTCCTAATTATCTGCTTAGTAAGGTAGTTGTTAAGTTTAGGTATTGTGTAGAATTAGGGATGTAGAATATGGGCATGCAGAATATGTGCTTTATAAGTACTAATAAACAGCCAATATGTTAATAATATGCATGCTAATAAGCAACTAGTTAATACAGATTGGTTTCTATACTAAAGTGTTACCATCAATTCTGCTGTAAAGCAGCTCTAAAAAAGACAACAGTAAACAGTCCATTTGTGTAGTATGGTTTCTCTCAAGGTTTGTTTCTCCCGCTATCACCAAATTAAAATTTTTCATTTCTTGCAACAGTCACCCAGGCTTGCTCACTGTGGGATTAAAGTATTATGTACTTTTTAGAAATTTCCCATTTAAACATCTTCACGGAGTAAAGATATGAGTAATTTTCAATCACAAGAAAGGATCGATATAGTACTTGTCTAAAATGAGAGATGTTACTAACTGAAATCAAAGCCACACCCTACATTACTCAACATTGTCAGTTAAATGGCTAATAAAATTTGCAAAATTACAAACATAACAGTATGACTTTCTGTAAAGCTGCTTCGAAACTCTGTGTATTGTGAAGAGTGATGTGGAACTTGTCGAACTCTTACATGTCTCAGAAGGTTCTCTTCTCCCAGCACCCGCACTAAACCTTTGGTGTCCATTTGTCCAAGTCGAAGGATATAAAGAGGACGTCCATCTACAAAATACACACACAAGCAAGCACATAACCACACAGATTTCTGCTTCTTTACTATTAATACATCCTTATCAAAAACACTTTTTAACTGAAAAATGAGTGTTTACTATTGTCATTTTGCATTATTGACACTATTTTCCTAATTAATGCTGTTCAGTTGCTTTGTCACAATCTGTATTGTTAAAAGCACTATATAAATAAAGGTGACTTGACTTGACTTCGCTTAGATACATATTTTGATCAGTTTCAAACTCATCAAAGCACAGGAGTAACACGCATCCTGGTTTAAGAGGCTCTCCATTAGTTCTATGTCACACAGCCATGTTTAAAGTCAATTTAAACATATAGTAGAGACAGACCTTTGTCATGGTGGTGCCAGCCTCCTGTGTAGTAGTCCTGCAGGAGCTGTGGACACTGCCATGTGTCCAACAGGAAGTCTATTTGATGCTGCTTCCTCCATGTGAGCGTCTGGCACAAAGCCTCTTTGGCCTTTTCCAGATTAAAGTCCCGTGAGCACAGGAAACGCAGCACATGCTGATCTTTAGGGATCTAAAGTGATTCATATATAATTAAGTAATAATTCCATTAATCAAATCAAATCATAAATCAGTCTAATATGCTGATTAGCAGTTCAAGAAACACTTAATATTATCAGTGTTGAAAACGTCTCCAGGTTACGAATGCAACCATAGTTTCCCGAGGGAACGAGACGCTGCATCGGAAACACTTTGGGAACTCCCCCAGCATGACCATGCTCTGAATCACATATGAAATCAGTCCAATAGATGGGCGAGACATCATGGTTGGGTGACGTTGCGACCAGGAAGCTATAAAAGCACGTGTGGTGGAACTGGCGTCAGCTTCTAGGAATGAAGCAAGTGCTCACAGGGATGCCAAAAGTATGGCACTGAGACGCAGCGTGTAACTAGGGGGTGTCTGCCCACTGACTGGCCACCGACACGTAGACTTTCAAGGTGGAGTGGGTCAACCCTGCAGAGAAACGGGCCTGCAGGAACTCCAGCACTGTACCAACTGGGCAGTAAACTTGGTCGAGCTGTGGCCCCTCCCCCCCAGGGGCCACACCCACGCTTCCACAGATCCAGGCGGGGGTGAAGATAGTACCCTCTGCCTGTGAGAGGAGATCCCTCCTGACAGAAATTCCCCATGGAGAGCCGTTGAGAAGGGAAATCATGTCCGAGAACCATACGCGGACCGGCCAGAATGGGGCTACCAACAGTAGACGGACCCCGTCCCGGCACACTCTCTCCAGAACTCCTGGGAGCAGAGCGATCGGCGAAAAAGGCATACATACGAAGCCTCAGCCATGTCTGTACCATAGCATCCAGTCCGAGAGGAGCTGGATGAGTCAGAGAAAACCAGAGAGGACAGTGATGAGCGTGAAAGACATCTCGGTGCTGAACCGCCATCTGCTCAGATTGAGCTAATATGAACCAATCATCGATGTGGTTGAGTATGTGGATGCCCTGGAGTCACAGAGGAGCCAGAGCAGCATCCACACACCTCGTGAAAGTGCAGGGTGAGAGTGCAAGGCTGACGGAAGAACCCGGTAAGCAAACCTCAGGAACTTCCAACCTTCTTTGGGACGATGAAGTACCGGCTGTAGAACCCAAACTGTCTGTCGAGAGAAGGGACCACCTCGATGGCCTCCTTCCTCAAGAGAGTGTTAACTTCTTGTTCCATTACCAGAGCCTGCTCGGGGCCCACCAGCGTGGGAATGACCCCGTTGAAATGAGGCGGAGAAGAACCAAACTGATTCGTTAGCCTCTTTCTACAGTGTGCAGGACCAACTGAGACACATTTGGCAGAAGTTTCCACGCTGCCAAAAAGGTCTACTAAGGGAATCAGTCTCTCAAGGCTGAGATAATGAATAATGAGATCTCTGGTGTAATCAGCGTGGCTAGGTCGGTGCCTGGAAGCGGCGAACTGGCAGGAGACCGCCGAACTAGCTGCTCTAGAAACATCCGAAGAGGTAGCGTGCCTCTTAGTACCGCTACGTTTCCGGGTGGTGACTGAGAGAAGCACTCGCCGGTGTGTGTGTATTTATATATACATTATAAATATACACAGTACACATACATATATTATGTAAATAAAAAAATTTATTTTGGATGTGATTAATTGTGATTAATCGTTTCACAGCACTAATATTGCTTTTGTTAATTGTTTAATAAATAAAAATAAAACAAATAGAATACAAAAAGATTAGAAAAGCTACTGTTAGTTTTTTTTTTTAAGAAAACAAGCAGTCAGTAAATAAATAGTGTGCAAGTCTAAAAGGGACAAGTTTTTTTTAGAATAGAATTAAAATAGAGTGCTAGAGTTAGAGGGTCAAATAAAGATGGAAGATATGTGTTTTCAGTCGATTCTTGAAGATGGCTAAGGATTCTGCTGCTTGGATTGAGTTGGGCAGGTTATACGAGTGAATGCAAAGTTTCTCAGCGGAATGCAAAAGTTTAGCAAGTGAATGCTTATTTACTTGTTCTTGACAAAACTGTTGAAGTTGTCCAGATAACGTTCTTTTTTTGTTTTGTACAGAGACCCTGAAAGGTCAGGGTAATGAAACATAATGAGATGGGGGGAAAAAAAAAATATATATATATATATATATTTTGCAATGCCTTTTTTTCATTGCTTTTGCATTCATCAGAGAAACGTTTGCACTCTCTTGCGAAACGTTTTGCAAGCAAACACAGAACTGGTGAGGGAAATACTACAAGATGTGATGAACTTCTACCACATACACAGTTTCTCAAAGAATGCAATACTTTTGAGAATACAAAGACTTCAAGTTCAAAATAAGAGAGATGTGACTCAAAAGTTTTGCAAGTGAATGTAAAGTTTCTTTGGCAAATGCAAGTTTTGCAAGTGAACTAAATTTTCTGGTGGTAAATGCATTGAAAAATTATTTTTCCTCCTTCAATGTTTATTATCTGTCATGTTTCTCAATCACCTTAAAGGAGTTCCATATACTTTTTGGTTGAAATGAATAATTTAGTGCTCAAAGAAAATTAAGCATATTTTTGTGTATTTTGTCATTACTATTGTGAAAACTGTGAAACATTTTTACTAACAAAACTTGTCTTCATTTGTCAAACACACACACACACACTTGCATTTGTGGTTAAGGGGACTCTCCATAGGCGTAATGGTTTTTATACTGTACAAACTGTATTTTATATCTAACCCTACACCTAAACCTACTCCTTACAGAAAACTACTGGCAATTTTTGAATTTCATAAAACACCGTTTTGTATGTTTTTTAAACCTTTTGTTTTACGGGGACACAGGAAGTGTCCTCATAAACCATGTTTACGTTGTAGTTCCCATGTCATTATACACATCTGTGTACTCATAAACCATATATACCATATATTTGATTGTCCTCATTTGTAAGTCGCTTTGGATAAAAGCGTCTGCTAAATGAGTAAATGTAAATGTAATATACCAGTACACACACACCTTTTTAATACTGGTGGCGTACTGCTTCATTGCAATCTTCTCTGCTGTGCTCTCAAACCCGAAAAAGGATTTGATGTCCATGCTGGCAGACTGCTCAAAACAGGTCCAGTCTTCATTCTCTGGGTGAACCTGAAGAGGGAATGCATAAACATCAGGATCCCTCGTAAACCAGCTAACACATAAACGTGTCCATAAGTGAGAGAGAAACGGCAGGATGTGGCTTCAGACCATGTAGCAGCAGTGCTCATAGACGTTGACTCTGCTGGAGAAGGACTCATTATAGGCCTCAATGTGCAGAGTTCTCTCTCTTCGGTTTAAAGAGTTCTTCTGGATGAAATACATGTACTCCACTCCTGCAATCTGAACAAAGAGTTATGTGTCAAAATCACCACCTAATATTGGTAAGTTTTAATGGCTTAATGTGATAGTTCATGCAAAAACGATCATTCTGTCATCATTTACTCCATCTCATGTTGTCGCAAACCCATAGGAATTTAGTTTTTTCTTCGGAACAAAAATAAAGATAGTTTTAAAATGATCTTATATTCAGTTATTTACAGTCTAAATATTTTAAAATTTTCAAGTATGCTCAATGATGGAATTTGGCATTATGGGCTTGTAAAAAAATGTAATACCCTCTTTAGAAGCCGAGGGGCCTCAACATCCATGGTACATCTACGCTCAATCACTTGGGATGCCCCATCCTCACTATGACACTCACTAATGATGACACTGTTCACAAACATGGGTATCAGCGGACAGTTTGGGAATCTTCTCTCATAGGCCTATGGAAGAAAAAAGATGAGAAAGTGTGAGAAAGGAAAAAAAAGGTGAAAGAATTTCAGAGAAATGAATGATAAAAAGATACAACACTGAACTGTTTGCAAGATAGAAATGGCGATAATTTTTGCACACAGTGCAATGTTCTTAAAAATATGGTTTTTCCATTCACCTTGTGCAAATTACCCTCGTATAGCTTATGTATGCTCTTGAAAACAGAACACAGGTCTTGTGATATGTTATTGTTTTAGTTGACTTAGCAGCTCATATGACCGGATTACCAAGTACAATATGTCACATGAAGTCTTAAGTCAACTATACAAATTAACCACATGTATGCCTGTCAATATTTACTCCCTAATCTCTCACCTTTTAAGGTTCTCGCTATGAGGAGTCATAGGACTTATGCTAAATAGGGCTGGGCGATTTGGCCGATTCTCGATTTTTTACGATTTTTAAATAGTCAACTTAAAAATGTAACTACAACATGATTGAAATAACTTTTTCTTTATTAACCCTCTAGTTGAAGAAAATTATATTCCAAGTGCACCACACATGAAGTTGTCAACATGATGTAAATGTTAAACAAATCACTTGTTAAATATCTTTGCAGAAAAGATGCAAAAACTACAACTACATCTTTTTACAAACTTGTCTTATACATGTTATACGTTCAGAAATAATAGGCTACAATGAAAATGCTTCAATTCTCAACAGTCAATGTAATTCAAATTCAAAATGACTGACTTTGTACATATAATCCAAACAAATTTACATTTGTAAACTGCACACTTGTAAATATATCTGTACATTCATTTAAACAGTTACATTTCTCTATATTTCTACTTCTGTATAAAGTGCATTATTACATTTTCTGTTTTTCTTATATTAGTGTTATACACCATCTCTACTGTGTAATTCCTATGTCTGCTGCACTAGTTTACATACATTTCCATACTTTCTTCTGCACTGGAAGCTCCTGTCACCAAGTCAAATTCCTTTTCTGTGTAAATTACTTGGTAATAAAGCTCTTTTTTGCATGTTTTTCCTATTCCTCTGCACGTGTCGCATCTTTATCAACACAAAAGCGCATTCTGTGTGAATGGCGCCTCGCGATATGAGCGCGTCACACGTGAGCGGTTAATTACATGCGCCGACATGCGGTTGGATCGTTCTTTTCTCTTTACTGTTATCACCTGCATATTGTCAAAGTGTCCAGTTCTGACGTTTGGTAATATTGCGATTCCTCGATTTCAAAAATATAAAATTGCGGCAAAACATTACATTTAAATTAATCGATTAAATCGGAAAAATCAGTCCGTGGCCTTCCGTCCGATTGTTACCAGAGGTCGCCCTTTCATTATATTGACTTTCACACCACACAGACTGTTACACGCCACCCTGGACTACATTTCCCATGCTCCATTGCACTAATCACAAGCTCACCTGAAACCAATCACACACAGCTCCTACCAATAACACACACTATATAAATCAGTTCCACACCACCATTCAATACTGAGTATTGTCTAGCATTTATTGCTCTCCAAGTGATAGATACATTACGGAGGCCATTCCGAGTTTTCTGAGTCAAAGTCTAGTTTAATCCTGTTCATTACCTTAGTCATTTGTGTCTTGATCCTAGCCTGTGTATCTCATTTTGTCTGATCTCTGCCTGCCCTGAAGTATATCGCCTGTCTTGGATTACCCCTCTCGTCTCGCCCTGTTGGGATACTGTTTACCCCTTGCCTGGACCATCGCATGTGTTTCGGATTACTCTTCAGTCTTGCCCTCTATATACCTGTCTGCCATTATCCGACTCTTGCCTGTGTTGACCATGTCTTTAAATAAATCCTTGCAAATGGATCTGCACGTCTCTCATCTCGTTCGCCCCGTTACATATACAAGGTTTGCATATTATTGTTAAATGGAAAGGATTCATACCTCCAGAACCATTCTGTTGTGCTCTATTTAGTTTAGTGTCACATTACACACTTTAAATTGCATCTATGTCAGTGCATTAGCCATCAGTGCAAATATGCCGAGCAGTGAACGAGCTCTTTCCATATTTGTTTTAGTATGTGTTCTCTGCTATCCCAGAGAGAGAGAGAGAGAGAGAGTCACGTAGATTAAATAGCAACAAGATCCTGCTAAAAGTCAAACAACACGTGCAAAATGTAAATGATCTATAGAATGTCTTCAGAATAGTAAATGGAGTGCCTTAATGGACTGAAATGGAATGCATTATGAAACGGAATATATTATAGAATAGCAGTATGCTACATTTTTGTCACGTGATCTGACAAAAATTGTCATCTGTAATGCATTTTGGCACAAACAGTTGTCACGCTGTAATAGAAGATCATGTCGATCATAATGCACAGCTGGATACAATATTATATGCAGTGTTGTTTACTGCACATTCTGATCAGTGTAGTAGGTCATATACATCAGAAACACTGTGTACGGTACACAAATATGTGCTTTACGCTTAAAATATGGTATCCTCTTTAAAATGCCAGCAATATCTCGACCTTTGTGTTAAATCAGTAAAGTGATGATGTCCATAGACGTCATCCATTAAAGCGACTGTACTCGGGACTGTACACAATAACACAGTTCAAGTAAGAGATGAAGCATTATATATTACTGTCTGCTTTCAGGAATAGAAAAGGTTACAGCAGTAAGTAAACTAAAAAGCCCTTTAATATTCATATTTAGTTACTGAATTTCAATAGAATTATAATGCAACTGAACTGAATTATAATTAAATAATTCTGCACAATTTACAAAATTATGGTCATTTGAATTTAAGAAATTAGATTAGAATAAAATTCAAAGAAATATACACAACTGCTTTCAGTTTTTAATACAATTTAATACAATTTATATTTAATGACCTGAACTAAATTTATATTGTATTTTATGTATTGTTCTATCCTAAAATGTCCACATCGACGGAACAATATACATTCACAAGCAGTAAAAACAATCAGTATATTCCTCTTCATGTGATCATAAAAATCTACTTTTCGTGAGACGTGTGACCTATTCCGTTCAAATTCTAATTAAACTGAATGCCAATACTTAAATTGTGAATTTTACTCAAGCCCGGTCTTCCAATCATGACTTTTTTCAAATCATGATTGTTTTAGATAATCATCTAAAACAATCCCTGATGTTTTTTCTATACTAACATGATTACTTGTTGAAGTGGGTTTTATACTGTGTGCAACAAACAAGCCGTTTATAAAATCCAAACCTCTTCCACAGCTGTTTCATAAGCACAATAATACTGTAAGCCTTTGTGACATAAACCCCAGAGGAGGTTTGATTGACAGCAGAGGCTGAGAGCGCACAATGAATGATTCTTGTGAAGTGTGAGCGGTGGCCCATGCTGACTAAACTATGACGTCAAACTGTGCACTCAGCAAATCTGAAAAAAGCAATACACAATGATAATGTTGATAAGAGCAAGTGATTAGTACTTTCGCCAGGGGAAATTATGTCATTGTGGGGGGTGGAATGGATCAATGCATGTGAACTGTAACCTAATTACCCAGCTGATCAATCATGCCTTGAGATTTCACGATGCTCACGTCTGCCAGAATTAATACTGCAACAGATTCACTCCAGACACAAAATGCAATGACATTCAGACCATGATTATTATATGACCCAGATAGCTATTTTTTAGCACTCTACAAATAATAAATCTATTATACCTATTGTATTATCATTGACACTCGCTTTGATATTTTATTATCTAATGCAGTGACAGACTGTACAGTTTAAATGTTAATTACAATTATGGCTCTTTGCCTTTAGATAGGTGTATTTAATATGAACTTTTAGTGTACTTCAAATCTTAAAAGTAGATATTTTAAAACAACTGTATGTGCAAATAATGTAATATTAAAATAACATGCCACCTAACTGTTTTTAAAGAGAGTTCAGTAATGACTGCTTCTTAACACACTTAAGTACAATTTTTAATATTGTTAAATGAAAGTACATTTTAAAATTTGCTTTTGTCATGCTTTAAAGAAGTACACTTAGTTTGAAGTGAGTTCAGTAATGATTGTTTCTTAACACACTTAAGTACATTTTTTATATATATTGTTAAATTAAAGTGCATTTTAAAATCAGTTTTTGTTAAAGTACACTTATTTTGATGCGCTGACTAACACACTAAAGCACTTGTACACTTGATTATAATTTTAGAGTGTTATTTAATATTACATTTAAAGTTAACATATTTTTAAAAATACACTAAATTGCAACTTCATTACAGATATGTAATTACTAATGTATTTAAACACGTTACATAAATTTTTAAAATAAATCACATTAAAGTATATTTTAGTTTACTATTAAAGATTGTCAGCACATTTGACAGAACTTGCATATAAAAATCTACTTATGTCATACTGTAAGTGCATCATAAAGCACACTTATTTAACTAATTGCCTTTTCATTTAATGCAATCAACAGTCAGTAAATTGTCTGAAAACATTACATTAATTTCACACTTAAGTTTATTCTTGTAAAGTATATTATGCCTGTAATACGTACTCTTTTGTATGGGTTCTCATGGGATTGTAAGTGTTAATGATTGTGTAAAGGGTGCGATAATATTAACAGGTCACAAGAGTTGTGAAAGGATTTAGGTGTGTATTGAAGTGCTGACATAATGGTGATGTTAACGTAGGTAAATATTACTAACACATACAAAAAATTATTGTTCTCTTAAGCAATATAGTTCATGATCTTAACAATATGTCATTTACAGTTGTGATTTTGCACATTAATTCAGTCACATGTGCGTGTTTATCTGCATTTTACAACAGCTTCTAAAGCAGACATTTAATCAGAATGTATAATCATCTAATCTGATCTGTTTTAAACCAGATATAAAAGTTATCAAGATAAAATGTAACAGTGAATGTTAACTGGTTTTCAGGATGCGTATTTTACACCGAATGTATCCCACATATAATGTAATTGGATGTTGTAATTTTCTTGTAAAGCAACCTAGAGCTTTAGAAGTGTGCTATGTAATTTAAATGTATAGTAGCAGCTTGGCTTCTAAATGTTTCATGAATTTTGATGCTCTTGGCAGACAATAATCCACTATTAATGTATATTTTGTATGGCTGGACTGTAGTATTGACCAGTGAGAAATCAGGATGTTAACTATTTATTTTATAATGCTAAGCACATGAAACGCCGGTTCAATTCAAACCATAAACGCTATTAAAGCAATAAAGCAATAAAGCAATAGAGACTTGTGCTCTGTGAGGTTAAAGATTTACCCGTATTTGAGCTGGCAACCCATCTGAAAGTTTAGTGAACTCTAGAGCAAAGCCGCTTTGAGACAGCTGACTAGACAAACTTTTGAGAACATTACTAAATAAAAGTAATTCTATACATTAACTCTCAATTGTTTGCAGCAGGTATAATTTAAAAGGACAAAACTGGAAAAAAACAAACACATATAAAAGGATTAACCAACTATAGACAGACTTTTAAAGAATATGATCTGGCATACATACTCTCTCATGTGCATGCAATTTTTTTTAAAAACTCACCGCCATTATGAGCTCAAAAGGGTACTTGTAAACCCTCACAGGGGACTGATATTTCTGCACCATCGCTGCACCTCAAATGAAAAGCCTTTCAAAAATAAATACATAAAATTGATGAACAGCATTATGACCAGAGAAACAGAATTGATCCAACAGCATAACGGTTGAGATATTGAAACATCATCATACATTATGTATTAATATATCTTCAGGCTGGTTAGGTACAATCTTCATCTTTAATGTGGTCACCATCTAAGATAAATGGCCTCTGTGTGAATGTTTAAAAGAGTTTCAAAAAAACTTAAAATAATGATCACCCTGTACAACCAGTGACCCAAAAGAGGCCTGTAGTCTTTATTCATTCTTCATATTCATTGTTGTTCACCGGCATAGGCAATTTGAATGAAACACAAGTGAAGCAACCTGTAAACAGAGACTGACTCCAATGCAATCATAAGGTAAACGTTCAAGACAGCTGTGAAATTAACTCTTACCCCTTATCTTTGAAGTTAAAGGCGCATAGAATGTAGTTTAATGGAAGTCTTGATAAACCCTGATGTGAAATACTAAGAATCCAGTCTGGGTTGCTTTAGTTATTCTGCTCCATTCTGCCGGGGAAGTGAAAGCCACGGTTGTGTCAGCTGAGGTTACATAACCCACGGCACTCACACAAACTCCGCCTCAAAACTCCCGTCCAGTCCAGGCCAGTCCACTTGTTTAGTTAAAAACAAAGCATTTCACTTTATAGTTACTTTTTAGTTACATTTGTATTTAGCATAAATTGATTTTTACAAGTATTTGACAATGCCTGTACTGGAAATATCTAAATAAACAAGAAAAGGAAGTCATGTAATGACTTGCTTGACTGCTTGACAAAGACTCGTCTAAAATGTTTTCTGAGTAGTTGCTTGGTGCTAAATGTGGTTATCAGGATGGATGGATGGATGGACAGATAGATAGATAGATAGATAGATAGATAGATAGATAGATAGATAGATAGATAGATAGATAGATAGATAGATAGATAGATAGATAGATAGATAGATAGATAGATAGATAGATAGATAAACTTGTTTGATTTTTAATGTTTAATTGAATGTTTCTTTGTAATTATGTCTGAAACTTACTAGCAATTTTTTGAGTAAAAATGGTTTCTAGTCAGAGTAGATAGATAGATTGCAGTGTTAAACTAGGTTATCGTAAACATATCACCTTTAACCTAACTGCATATAATGTTTTTACAGTTTCACAGTTTTAATATACTTTTATAAGTACATTTTATAAATCTGTACCTGTGTACAGTATTGTTTTTATATTTCAAATTTGAGTAACAATCATAATTAGCCAGAAGATGGTGCTGTTGACTTTTTTAAACTGAGCTAGACTGCCTGCAACACTGCACTGTACTATCCTCTACTTCACAAGTCTATCTATCTATCTATCTATCTATCTATCTATCTATCTATCTATCTATCTATCTATCTATCTATCTATCTATCTATCTATCTATCTATCTATCTATCTATCTATCGGCCTGATAACCACCTTATATGTTTATGGTTAAGAGTAAAAGATGTAAGAGAAGTTATTTAATTAGTTAGGTCCAGTATTTTGGATGTGCGGAGGATGATGACTGTTTGGCATTGTGGGAGCTGCAGCAGTGAATCCATGTCTGAACATGAGTGTGGGTGGGAAGAAGAGGAGGTGACTGAAAGAAGCGAAATGTGGGAATAGGAGGAAGAGGTGGCCAGACACATGGGACAGGGACATTCCAGGGTAGGACATTGTTTTGTAAAGACGTGTTCAGGTTGCAAGGGACTTGGATGAAGGTGTTGAAGTAGACTCAAAACTGGGATATTGTCCTTTCCGCAGGCAGACTTCGCTGTAGATGTCATATTTAACCTTGTACTGTTATAGAACAAGTTACTGGATAATCTAAAGGCCAATTCACACAAACACCATCAACCAACTGAATACATTATGGCACTTCTTAGACATTCCACAACTTGGCAAATGCTGATTCAACATGTTCAATTGGTGAAAACAAGCACTGACCAGCAGCAACATACACGGACAGGGTAACACACTGATCAGATAAAATCTGATGAATGTGTCTGTTGCAGTTTGGCTAAATCTGTCGGTGCAGTGTTAGCTAGACCTAAAAAAAAAAATCAACCAATTTATTTTACATTATATCTAATCAAAATTGAATAAAACATCTGTGCATTGTTAATTAATTGAGCAAAGTTTAACAGCGAAACATCTGAAGAATCATCTGAAGGATCTGTTCAACTTCTGAACATCTGTAAGTCTGAAAATGTTTCTCATCTGCGTACCGAGGGTTGCCATATGCAACATCAAACACTTTACAGGTGTCATATGAGTATGTTGATTCAGAATTGATGGACTCACAGACAGATGGATGAATACATAGTTCTGGCATGAAACTTTAGATGGCGCAGTCCGATAGGTCTAACTCAATCTGACCTAATGATATCATTATCACATGGCACAGCTGATTGGTTCTCTCCTGTATCAGCAGCCAATGAGCTCGCTGCTCAACATTCAAATATATGACTAGTGCTTGCCGTAGCAGTTGCAGCTTGCTTCAGAAACCCTTCACCTTCCTCAGCTCCACCTGTATAGATCTGCTACGAGGTGATTCATGTACGCTATATGGATATTATTTCATGTGTTATATTTGCAGCAGCAATATTTCTTACATGCTCACAGCAGCATGTTGTGGATGTATTGGCAGTAGCAAGTCTCGGTACTTGCTCTGCCGCAGCAGCAGCGTAGCAGATATATTCCTCCAAGACCCAATACATTAACATTGTCATGTACATTACCATGCCAATCCCTCCGAGAGTTGTCATGACAGAAATGTATTCAGTTGTCTATAAGTAATTTAGCAACTACATTCCAAGCAACTCTCATTAATTTTCAACTACACCTCAACTAACTATCATTGGCGTATTAGTAGGCTGTTAGGTTAAGATTAGGGTTAGGGTTAGTAGAATAAGTTGAAATTGCAAAGCTACTTATAGTCAGTAGAATGTCTGTCGGTTGAACGTCTAAATAAAGTGTTAGCAGATATTAATCAGACAGTCAACTAATACTCTAATGACTGCTAGTTGACATATTTGCAAACAGAATGTCTAATGGGGACCATCAATATAAACTGTTGCTATTTATTCTTGTTTAACCCATTTAGGATTACAGTAGCATGAGAAGTTTTGACAAGCAATGGTTATGTGGTATCTTACTGTGTAAACATGGTAAACTCTCAGTACAATACAAAATAGTAAAATTGTATTTGGCAAATCATTCTTTTAACATAACTGTACTACAATATCACCACTGTGCTTTTTGAAAGAAAACAAATGCAATCTTACACCATTACAGACAATCAATATCAACACCCTTGTAGGTGTGCAATGTCTGTCTCTTCTGAATGACTCTGCAGTCTGATTTTGTGCTCATTTATCTTTCCCTCAGTTTGCTTCGTCACAGCTGAAAAAGCATATGAATATTCAGCAAGGGGATAAGTCATAGGAACAGCAGGCGTCGGAAATGGAAAACGATTTCTAGACCCGCGCTGTCAGTAATAAAACAAGAAAAGATGTTGTGAGCACAGAGAAATTCCTCCGAAATCCTTGTTCTGTGCAAACACAGATGTTTTTGTAAATATCAGATCTATGACAGTAAACATACTGAATCTCAGATTTTAAATATTGTTGACAGTTCAGGCTCAAAAATCTGATTGGATGAGTCAAACGAGTTGAAACCGTTTGTTCTACATTATCACGGCTGCAGGGCCAATTTTTCCTTTGGCTTTTGGAATTATCGCAGAAAATACACTCTATGACCAACAAAATCTTAAACAGTTTGTTCAACTTGGTAATATTTACAACACAAATGTATAAATTGAAAGGTAAGCTATAAGCAAACTACACGGCTTCATGACTTAAAAAAAAAATCCTTAAATGTTTGTGATTATAAACACTATAGTCGCGTTTCCATTACTCTGTGCAAATTTAAATTTCGAATTGAAAATATGCCTAATGGAAACACGTCAATTTCGCAAAAAATCCCATATATCGCAAACAAATGTTACGCTTGCATGAGGTGGTTTTTCAGGCAATTCAAGGAACATTTTATTTATAGAGGAAAAAATTACTTTTAAGTAGCATAACATTGGTTAATGGAAACAGTGTCAATTCGCGATAGATTTTTTAATCAACATTTATAAAATATCGCAAAAGTTTTGTGCAAATCTGTAATGGAAACTCGACTAAATGAGGCTCTGAAAGTAGACTATAGTAAGTAGATGAGGTTACCTGTTTGGTGTAGTGCCCTTTAGCCACTTGTTAGCAAACTTATTTTTAAGAAAAGTAAAAACTTTAAAATATTATCACAAGGGGGTTTACTGATATATTTTGTCATATAAATGTAAAAAAATATATTGAGCTTGTTTACATCACATACATTATTTTAGGCATTTAAAAAAAAACATTGATTTAAGGAACAGGAAGTGCTAAAATCTAAATCGCTTCTAGGTTTTGGCCTGCAAAAATGCTTTATCCCTGCAGCACATCTTCCAACTTAAGAGATTTCATGCCTCACGAAACTGAATCACAGCCTTGCATTCAGCATAAATCAGCACAATTGTAAGTGTGATAACACTTTTATACAAACAAATATACAAAGGAAAGTTTATTAGTGAGTACAGAATATAGGACCATCACAGTACAAATGACTGACATAGAAAATGGATCTGCTCATGTCTCATGAATGGCCCATTAAACATTCATCACATCACAATTACAGCTTACAAACTCATCAGTAAGAATGTCCTATAAGGATTTGAAGGCAGTCCAAGACTTTTGCATTTGGTGCAAACTAGAGGTACTGGCTTCTTGTGAAACCTTTTTATGTCTAGTTACAATTTAAATCAGATATATCAAATATGTTCTTAATTCACAATTGATCTAGTCTGACCTTCTCCTCAACAGTACTTACCGCTGTGCTCTTCCCGTTGAATAGCCATAATACATCGATTGAGTGTAACTGAATGTTTTTCATGATCTCCAAGGTTCTACAGAGACCAAAGCACATTATCAGGGGCAAAGCTCATCTGCTTCAGCCTTTAATATGATTATATTGTTGCTATAATTGTCTTTCTTGACATCTTTATGACCGTCACACACAGCTGCATTTTTAGCCGAATAAGTGGATTTGAATACAGAGGAAAATCATGGAATCTAATGGGAACCGACACTGTTATCTTTAGTATATATAGCTTAGTCGTGCTTGCTAGAGCAAGACTGTTGCTTATTCTTAAGTTAAGGAAGGACCTCAGCCATATATAGACACAACAATATCATTGAGACTTGTGGTTGGCCAGTAAGCAACCGCCCGAACACCTCAGCAAATGTAACAATGTTGCTAGACAACCACCTACACCCAGACAACCACCCTAGCTTTGCTACACAGGCAAGCCCAGCTCATATTTTCTTCAGAATCTAGTTTTTATTTGTGTCCACCAGATCAGACTGGAGTTTTCCCCGGTGAGATGGTCTGAAGGGAAATATCGTGAGCTCCTTATATATTTTGAATACAATT